GTTCTATACCTCATCTTGTCTCTGTTCTCTCTCTTTCCTTAACACACACTCACACACATACGCACACGCACTGCATATAAGCCTACTTTTCGCTTTCCTCTTCCCATCTGTAGGCCTACACTTATCTGTTCTTTTGATATGATAATTCTGTTTCCTATTCTCCCATATAACCTCTTTGGCTCTTCTCTTCTTTAGTTTCTTCATAATTTCCTTTTTACCCTTTTTTTTTCTGTTATCCATTTTCTGTTCTTATCTCTCACTCTTTCTTCAGCATGAGCGAATTAAATTCACCCTGGTTTTTACATTTGATACTTATTTCCGATTCCCATGTAAATGAATATATTTCTCTCAAAGCAGTCTTTAGTTGATGTCTTATATAAATCAGTGTACTTTTTGGTCTTTGTTGCATAGTGTTCATAAACTTTAAAAACATCGATCGTTCATTCTCCATTTTTGCATGTTTATCTGATTTTGGTTTACATGTCCCTTCTGTCTATTGTCTCCCTCTCTCCTGTCTTTTCTCGGTTTATTCCTATGCATAATGTATCTAACGTCCCTGCCAAAACAATTACTTTTGTTTTTATCCCCCTGTGCCTTTTTTTATTTTTTAAATGTCTATATATCTTTTAAACAATGTATTTCTTTATATTTTCCTCTTTCTGTCTCTCTTGCTCTAACCACTTTGAATATCTCCCTTCTTTAATAGCTACTCGTCAAATTTCTTATTCTATCACTATGTCATTAGTCCGCTTCCCTACCTCTTTTTATTACTCTTCTGATGCCTCCCTCTTCCCCTATCTCTATCTTTCTTTCCTTCTCTCCATCATCCACTTCCATTGCTCACTGGATCTCATCAGTCTTTTAGATGCTCCGAAATGACAGTTCTGCATGGCTGAGCTGGCTTTAATATTTGATGACTGCGGGATGGGGCGAAGCGGCAAGCTGGCCGGTCCTGTCGTGCCGTTATTAGCTCGTCCCCGCCAATGTTCAATTTTATTCCGCTCCCTACACCCCACACTCCTTAGATCAGGGGCGTACCCATTCACATTCCGTCAGGGGGGGGGGTGGAGGGGTAGGGTTGCTAGCTTTTAACAATTTAAACCCCCTCCCAAGTATGCCATGATCTAAGCTATAGGTCTTCGCAACATCACTATAAACACTTAATGGGAGCTGTAGAAGACGTTTAAAATAAGGGGGGGGGGGGAGATGTCTTCACAGGGAAACACTCATTTACCCTTTTAACCTAATAGGCTCAGTAAACCATATGCTCTCCGTACAATATATCACTCTAATTGCTCTTAGGTGAATATAACGCGATGTCACAAAAGGGCACATTCCTCTATAGGTTAACCTTAATCATATTGATGGTTATACAGTTATTAACCATCACCCTGTGCCAGAAAAAGATACATTTTTTTATATTAGAGATTACGATTCTATGTTCCCTGATCTGAACTATATATATATATATATATATATATACTCTATTATTTTAAACTTCAGTTTATTCATATTTTTTTAGATTGTTTTTCTTCTGATGAGGTATATTAAACCTTAAAACTTCTTAGAAACCTGTGATTTTAACATTTGTTGGTTTTTATGCTTAAATTGTTTTGCTACTTCCATGCTGATCATGTTTGGGGTTATGTGTATTGATGAATGAATTTCAGGCACAGACGAAATAAAGCATTACCTCTTATATCTTTTATATCACCACCCATTTCATATCTCCGTCTGAAGGCCGTGATACCCATGCAACTTATAATTAAATTTACTCATATTCTATATAACGGGTCGTCTTCTTAAATATAATCGGATTCGATAGGAGGGGGAACCCTACCCCTTCCTCCGACCGACCTCTGCGTAATGTGCCCTTCCCCACCAGTTAAAATGGCGCCGCCGCTTCATTTTGAGATTGGAATGACCCTAGTTGTGAAGTAGGGACCTTTCGGGGGCATCATCACTATTCAACAGTACTCTTGTACATATTTTAACAAAGATTAACCACCCTCTTCATTCACAAACTTTCCTCCCATTGCCTGTACTGTTCCAGGTAGCGATGTTTTTGGGTGTGTATTCATTGATTTTATTTTTCAACACTTCTATTCTTTTTCGTACATAACACAGAAGCAAAGCATTTTCATATAGTCTTGGCTTATACAAACAGAAACATAATTTAAAAAAAACTTTTTATCATTTGAAAAACAAAAATTAATACAGCATAATTCATAATTCGGTATTCATTATTTCACAATGTATGTGATATGGCACAATTAGAAATATAGCACAATCACATAATGTGAAAATATTATTATATAAATAGCTTGAACGATTTGAGTGTTGGAATTGATGTGAGTTTTGTATACTCTTTTCCGGAGAGATGGAAACCTAGAATAAATTATTGATGGAATATATTCAGCTACTTTTATTCTGTTTTATTCTCGTATTTTGATTGCTTCTTTATACAATTATCTTCTTATCGATGAGTATAATTCATTCTTGAAAGGCGGGTTAGTTTCCATAAATGAAAATCATAAGTTAGTAAAACTGTCGACTTCTCATGCACAATGCAACGTCTGTATACACAGGCATTATCACCCTTACTTAAAATCCGGCAGCTGTCCTTAACTTTTTCTGCACATTGATATCAATCAAGATGACATAGATTCAACATAAAATTGAATTTTTAAATTAATATTCTGTTGAAAAAAAACGTTCAAATATCTGTATTAAATTGAACATTAAATTTTATGAAAATAAATGTAGTTTATTGGGAATATTATTACTTCATAACCACTTATAGGAGTAACAAAGGAGAATCGTATTACAAACAAGGAAGCTAGTGGTTATGGCAAATGGGTTTACTCATGATCATTCGGAGAGCAATAAATTATATTTTTCTCAACATCACTGTCATCCTAGGCGTTTGTTCAAACATTTGTTCGCCCTTTTCCAATCCTAATTCTGACATATTGTCTTGCATGGCTCATCATTTCGTACCCGATTATCCAAATATGCTAATGATAGATTTATAACTCCCGGACCTTTAAGCAAATTTAAGACAAAAAGGGAACGGATAAGGGGAAAAAAGAGGAGGAACATAATTACGGTTTTAGATATCACAGAGAGCAGCGAGCCGAGCATGCTTGGTAGCCCAAGCCGAACACCGCGGCGGGGAAGCTTCGGCCCGTCATGTCGAAAAGACCGAGGATTTTCTGACTGTCCCATCTCTCTCTCTCTCTCTCTCTCTCTCTCTCTCTATCTCTCTCTCTTTCTCTATCATCTCGATGGCGGCTTACACGCGCAGCTGATGGGATCTGCCGGTAATTAAAACAAAAGCAATATTGATCGCCTGAGCCTTCTTATCTGTTTAATATGATTTCTCTTTTGAGGATAATCACACTTGCACTCTTCCCGCTTTGCCCCATTTTTGTGAAACACAAAAACATCGTCATCATCATCATCAACTGCGGTATGAAGTCTTTTAGAAAGTAAATTGCTTTGCTTTCATAGCTTGCCGTTGGTAGACCTTCTCATTTTGTGTAGGGTGGGACCACGGCGCCACCAAAAGTTGTGTAAACTTTTTGCTTGTGTAGACAGTATCCTTCTGCATAAAACCGTGATCAGTCGCAATAGGATATTTTTTAAAAGGTAGACAAAAATAGGGAATTTTTTTCTCTATAAGCAAGACATCATTCAATGGAATAGTAATGCTTTTATTTTTATAGCCCTTTCCCAGAATTACACTTTCGGGTTTAGGGATAATATTAGTCAAGGTTTTTACACGGGGAAAATAAAGTCATGCACATTGTCATAGGTTTAACATTAAACTAGCAATTTTATTTTTGGAAACTATTCTATATTCATTTTGAATTCAGTGAATTCTTGTTCTAGGAATTACTTATGAGTTCTGCAAGGGAGACTTCCGTTGATGAAAGTTTAATACATTTGTTTTTCTACCTTCTATACCTTCTAAAAATAATATCAATATTAAACACGGTTGATAAGGTTTTACATCATAGAACTTTAAACTTTAATGGTTTTTACAACAACAGAGAAAATAATGTACTGTATATCAAATTATTTCAACACATTTCATAAACAACCAAGTACTATTGTTTCCCGGCATAGACAAATTGGTCGAGTGTGTTCTTTTTACGAAAGTACACCTTAATGTTGTCTTCCTGGACAAGAAACTGACGATTAGTCAGTTTCATTTTATATGTCCATTTATTTCATTTCGATACAACACGACTGGAATGTTGTTTACTAAAGTTTCTGCCGAATCATATAATTGTCGGAACGATCAGAAACACGGCCCTTCCAACCGCTGAATTGTTCAAAAACGGAAGTTTTGGGCGTCTCATTGTTAACGTAACAATTCTTGTAAAGTGGGGGACAGAGTCAGAAGTCGTTGTAATATCAGTGATAAATCGATGAATGATTTTTCGACTGGCCACCGACTGCGGTTTATGGGCATTATTTATCACAACCACCAAAATAAGCCCGTCTTATTGAAATAAGGATATAATTTGTCTTGTAAAAGAAGCAACAACAGAATTGGTGGCTGGTGCTTTGAAAAGATTGTCTTGTGGAGTGTGAGATGTGTGTTTTTGATGTTGGAGTAGAGGTTAATAGTGGGCTGAATTGGCTAAAGAGGGTGACAAAGGGAGCCCAGTGGGGGCAAAAGTATCAATGAATTCTTGGTCGTATGGCGTAAGGCCAGGAGCACTCGGCGTTGTGTGTGCGAACCACCGCCACTCAAGCGAGGACACTCCCACACGTGGAAACTTATTCATGTAATAGAGCCTCTGATTGGCTTATCACACGTTTCGCAGCCACTCGCCTGTGGCGAAGCGCACTGGCCATTGACCAATCAGGCATGGTCGTAGTCAGGTCGATTAAGCGAAACTAAGAGCCTCATTCTACAGTCGCTTTGTGCGGAAATGCCCGTGACTCGTGCCCGTGTGTGCGTGATACTCGAAGCGGAGCACACTCGAGAGGACTCACAGAGAGGCTACGCACGGCTAACTTCATAAGTTGTGAGACACTTTATTGTATTGTAATAATTTCCCGTTCGATGGATCTAAGAAAAACGCGTGTCAAGAAACACAGACTTGTCATTCAAAGCATCTTCTCTCATTCAAGACGTTCCAACCTCTTCTTCTTTCTCTCAATCGATGGACAATTTTCGTCCAGTTTTGCCATACCTGTGAAAAGATTGATGCGGTTTATACGTGTTATCAAGTTCATACAATATTCATCGTGGAGTCTGTATTGCCGAAATTTCTGCGAACAATTCTTTTTCCAACCACGGGTCGTGCCTAAGGACCTGATAAGTTGACTTTCAATCGATTTTTTACCTGGTCCAACGATTAGGTGAATTGTTGGATGACCTGCACTGCACGATAGAACTTTTATTTGGTATGCGTACGCCGCCGACCATTGGCACAGATACGCTATTGAGTTCTAGACCATAGAGTTGTATAGAGCGACCGCTAGACCCATTTTCTCTGTGAGATCGCCGGTGAATGTGGCTCCGGCTAATCGCTTCGCACCGTCAGTTCACTCCGCTGCTCAAGCACAGAGCGGAAAGATAAACGACAAACAAGGGCATCGTCTGCTTATTCTCCAGTCGTGAACTCTCCAGCCCTCTTCCGTCCCACGGACATTTACCCGACAAGGACTCTAACCAACGGACCTTGTCCGTACATCTGAGTTAATTCGACCGAGTTTTGTGGCCTATATGTTTGGAGAGAATAACTTAGCGACCATGGCTTTCCTGCCGAGCCAAGCAGCGTCATGTCAACGGCAAACTACGCCGCCAGGTGCCCCTCACAACCCAGTCACCATGTCGATGGTCATGGATTTTCACCGACGTGCCACTCTCTCACACGGTGCATGTAAGAGTAAGTTTTATTATTTCCGGTACAAGGCTTTGCTCCGAAAAGCAGCCAGGCTAAGAAGTTGTTCATTTAAATATTTATGATCAATCATCACTAAATTTATTTAAGTGAATGGCAACAAATACAAGGCATGATCAAGGAGTTTGCACCAGAGCGTTTGTACCGTCGTACATCTTATTTATTATAATATTAATAATCATAAGAGATACATGTACATGTATACTGCTTCATCATGACGTTGGTTCATAAAAACATATCAGTAAATATAGGCTACAATGTTTCATCATTATATATTCCGTCACGTGCGACTTCGTTCACTATGCGAATAATCAAACCATGTATTTAACTTAAACGAACAACTGATAGTTAATGATCTAGTTTATTGTAATTCGACATTTTATTTGAACGAGCACATCACTCCTGATAACTTATTTCATGACAATACGCTTTAATTACAATTTCTCGAAACATGAATTTCGGGATCAAAATAAAATAGGCATTGCATCGAATTGTGACGACAAACCTTTATTTTGAGAAGTCACTCGTCTGGCGGTGGCACAATAATGAATCCAATTATGCGATTGATGTAAAAGTACGACCACGAATATTTATAGCATTCTAGTACAATGTAACACCAGTCATATATGAGTCTACTTTTGATCGTTGTATAGTGTAATTTCTGTATTTTCGATTGCTTTTGAAGTCTAATTCTTCGTCGGGCTGTGAATTAAACATTCTTCGAAATTACTGCGTGATTCAGTTTGAACAGATCACATAATTATAACTTTAAGCCGTACTCATAAGGATATAACCTAATTCTGCATTTACTCGACTTAAGCCGTTTATGTTATCACACAATTTAATCGTGCATGATCATTAGGAATTTAGTGAAATATCATTAGCCGTATCTTTAAAAAAAAAATTCCCCAGTCGTCAATGGCATAAAAAGATACCACAGAATTGCTATGTTCTGTTATGTTATACGTCTATGGAAACGATGGGAAAATACGTGCAGCCAGCGTACGCTATGTCAATGTTAGTGTGTTATAATAGCACCACAGATCTCCCTCTGTGCTATATTGTCTGTGAATCCAATTTGTAAAATGCATTTTACATGCGGGTAGAATAAATAATGATTGGAAAATCACTTGAAAAAAAAAGTGGAGGATTGTTCTAGGGCGGGCCGGCCAGCAGAAGCGCAGTCTGCCATTGATAATGAATGATGCTTACTTATGTGGTGAAAAATTAATAATGTATTTATGATAATTTCTGCGGCTAGCTTCCAAGCTATGGCAAGAGGCATCGGATATACATTGGTATATCATACAACATGTTGTACGTTTGTGTCTTTTTCTTTCCTACCTGTGAAACCAATTGAGGTTTTTCCGCTGACTTCGTGTGTATAAGTAGGCCTTCAATGATTGTGATGTTTTTAATTGAATTATTGCTGTCTCCCATTATAATTTTATGATAAATAGTATACAGATAAATGGGGCATTTGTAAAGGGACTGTATACGGTAGATTAAGTAATGTTTATTAAAAGAATGGTGGTGCAGAACTGATTAGGGTGAACAATGATTACATTGCCAGGTGAAAAGAGCGACTGTCTATTGAAAAGGCAATATATGGCTGTACAACTTGAATCCTAATAAATACAATGTAACGTCACTTTTTGCTGGATAAAATCTTGATCTCTTGGTAGTTAAGTAACATTCGGCTTTTTCTAACAATACATTTATCTTAAAGAGGGTGTTACTTTAATACCTGTCAATAATAATAGTAAGTTAAACACACGTTTTACTCCATAAGCTAGAAATGTTGTAATGGAGGATAAAAAACAACGCGTAATTAGCTAATGCCTGCCTCATCATGCATGTTTTAACAAATCCAAAACAAACCCTTATACTTTGACCAACTGATCTGTGAAACAAGATACCCTAATGAAAAAATGCCAATCTTCTCCTACCTGAATTAGTTTCATTTCCCCCTCATTACCAAACGTGATCAGCTAGGAATTTAGGGGCATTCATTCCCGACTGATACCAATTTATACCAATTTGTTGATACCACTAAACGCAGAGGCGCCACGTAATTTTGAATGGTATCCGCAGTGGTTTGCCAATTTGCCGGATAAGACACGATCTGATATTTGACTGTGATGATGCCGATATGCATACTCGTTGATGTTATGTTTCTTAAAATCATGTATCATTGGCAATGTCGTTATTATTTACTAGTTATCATTATTTTTTAAGAGCATTACATTTCATTTGTGATTACTTTGCTAGGGTTGCCACAATGCTTCAATTGACACTCTTCCCTTGTCCGTAACGTTTAGCATATATAATAAAATGAAATTATTTTCAAAAATTGTTTTTACATGTTACACAAAGTAACAGAAGTAACCATAGCAGGGGAAAATAGCAGGGGAAAATAGTAGTTGAGGAAGTCAAAGGAGTATATACAATCATAAAGTAACTCTTTGGTATAATCATCGATGTTGGTATTAATAGAAATTAAAAGGTAGCATGCTTTTTTGGTTTAATTCTTGAAATCTTTATTTTCAAAAGGCCGTACCGTTCAATCGAAATAAACAGCAATCAAAGGTAAGGATAATTATGACACCACGACTCCCGCTGAAAAGGGGTGGCAAAGAGGAGCAACCATTAATCTTTATGACGATGTCCCTTTTGAATCAACTAGAGTGTTATTTATTATATTGTGATCTGAATATTTATAAATATATTAAAGTTTGAATTGAATTATTACAACTCACAGAAATTAACCTCCAAATTATTCCGGTGGTTAGAGTAAGCATATGATCAGGAATTTATTAGCATTTAATCACTTATTTTTGTCGGGGGATATACAATATTTCGTATTTGTGTTTGTGTGATGTCAGCTTGTGGTTTGTGTATCGAATGGCCCTCGCATTCGCGGAACCAAAAGGCATTTATATTTCATAATCCAATTAATTTTTAAGGCAAATATGCATTCCTAACCCCAACAGAGATACGGTTTGTGATATAGAATATCTTTGACTGCACAGTTCATATTTTCATGATCTAGACATACTGTATGTATAAACTGAATTAGGTATTGACTTGTGTACCAATTATTTGTTGTATTGCGAAATATAATAGAAGGTCTAAATGTTTTTTAGAACCGTACAACAAAATATTGTGAGGGGAATAAAGATATAATTTTGATAAAATCTATTAGATTATAAAATAAATTTGAAAGGCAAGCCGGATAAATAATTGTTGGCTAAATGATGCCAAAATGAAACCATGTTTCATGAATTATTTCAGCAATGCCTATACATTGAGGTCTTACACGCCATTTAATAGGTCAGCGCCGCACGTGCAATAATCGACCGGATATTTACATAATTCACAAGATCAAAATCTAGTTATGACAATTTCCATTCATTACTTTTTTTTATGCGATAATCGCTCGGAAATAGGAAAGGTAAGCGGCTACTCTCGCCGTTACAATAACAAACTGTCCTTGGCTGAAGCTGCCCCAGGCGCCGTGCTTTTTCACCCGACGTTTACAAAACCAAACTCCTTTTCAAGCCCTAAAGTCAACATCGGAAATGTTACCCCAGTAAAAAAAAAAGAGAAAGAAACGCCGGTGGAAGAAAAAAAGAGAATCGGAGAAACCCGTAGAATGTAAACTGAGTCTTGGCCGCGTGTGCATGAAATACAAACGGAGATTATAAACATTGCCAATTTTGAAGGGACTTGGTAGGCAGCACCATACGGCATGGGTGAAATAAAATATTAGAAGCAATTTTTGTTTTACCTTATTTCAGATTTAGAGTACCGCGATACAAATTATATATATGGAAGAATGGGTACTCCCAGTTGAGTTACTTGTGTTGCAAGCTGAATTCGTAAAATAAGTCGATCACAGACAGTAAGAAAATTTGATCACCTGGGGTTAATTTTCATGATGACTATCCCGATAGGGAACACAAATAGCAATGCACTTTTCTTATAACAAAGCAAAGAGAAAGTTCAATAGCATTATGCTCAATCTTTTAGTCATAATGGCGATGAATTATGATTTTATTTATATTTGATTATCGGAATGTAAACTCCAGCAGATATGTTTATTATCAGATCAAACTCGCATACTTATGGACATATATATATATAGTAGCAATGTTAAACAATTTAAACTAAAAAATATCTTCTGTAGGTTGATCAGATTGTATTCCGAACTATTATTGCATTTACATGAGTTGCATTTACATACTACTAACAGATACTATAGTTATGATGTGTACCGTCGTATATTCCGCGTACGTTGTGTGAATATTATTGAATTAAATCCGTATCATATAAATGTACAGCAAAATACCCTTCGCTATTTAAAACAATAGAAACCACCATTAGATTGTGTATATAGCGTATATAGGCCTACGTAAATAATGGCGCCATAGCCGAGGCGCCACGCTTTTACGTGCAATGCCTATGTGGTGAAAATGTTCTTATAACAGCGTCCCCATCAACCTGTCAAATCAACTTCGCTTAATATTTAGCGAGTTCCGCTGGACCGACCAAGCCGAACTGATACCTGTATTAACACCCCCATTGAGGTGACACAGACCTTCAACATAAATTCTAATCAATAATGATTAAAATCCAACGTTCGGAAACATGAACTGCTCCCCATCTGTAAATTAGTTAATAAAGCAGATCTAGTGGAATTCATCAAATTAGCAACCGAATCGGAGTGGCTTTGACGTGCTTACATTGTGTCGATTAATAAAGCTGATCAACTTGAAGAATGATAGTTATTGCTGTTCTTTAAAAGATCGTTGGTAGATGAAAATAACCTTGTGGTCAATTCTCTCACTCTTAATTCATATTTGAGAGGTCATAATAATGCTTAGTGGATATCATTGGAGCAATATAATCTACATTTCCTCGTTCGATGGGAAGTAAAAATGGTTATGAAACTCCTATTTGAAAATAAACTTACAATAAAGCGT